GCTTGGGGGACCTCTATCTGTCGCCTGAGTGAAAGAATAGTTAAATACTAGGGGCTCGGAAGTATTTTTTATTGATGAAAAAACACACATAATCAGAAATATTGATAAATTTTGAGTTTAAACAATAATAATCACCATATTCACGAATATTGGTACATTTTGAGTGTGAACAATACTGTGAATAATCATGAATATTCCCAATATTTTGATTATCTTAAATATGAAAATGGCGGCAAATGATGTATGTCATTTTGTGGAATGTTATTTATAAAATCAGACAAGCTTAGAACACTTTTACCTATATATTTTTGATGTTCTTCAGTCAAATTATTTTTTTATCAAAGAAATATAAGTTTTTTAGGCTGAAATCTCTTTTTATATAATAAAAACAACAACTATTAATTCTATTTTGTGTTGTGTGTGTTTTACATCGGTGCCATATACGAGCTGAATAATGACAAATAATTACGTAAATATGAGAAATATTCAAAATATTCTCAATATTTTCCATATATACACCACATTCATACAAAATTGTCAAAACTTTGTTTATTTTGATTTTTTTTTCATGTTCCGAGCCCCTAGGGTTTACGTTTCTATTCCTTCAAGGAATTTCTTTGAACTATTTTAAATAAAAACTGAATTTGATATTGCCATAAAGCTCTTCCGAATAAATTAAAGACAGTTCTTATTGCATTTATCTGATGGTGAGAAATAAAAGAAGTTGTTGGGTTTTATTGAACGAGTATTTATTTGTTAAAGTGTGCAGTATTGTGTACGTGCAGCTGCTGTAAGCAAAAGTTAATGTTCTGAAGTTGGTAGACAGCCCATTGCTTCAAAAGTTCATATTTCACGCTCAGGTCGTATCTGGATCATTATGTAAAAAACTATCGTTTATACGAATTGGAATCCATTTTTATGGATCCTCACACTTAACCTTGCGCTTACGACTTACTCATGTTTCTTCAACGTTTGAAAAGAATAGTTAGGAAAAATGTGAAAGAATAAAAACATTGACTTAATTGTAAAATATTTTAAATAACACGTTCATTTAGTATTCATCACTGATAGTGATATATTTCGTCTGTGGTTTTCAAAATATTCAGTATGTTTTAGTTTCGAAAATGTAACATTAAATGTTAGTTTTTTGATACAAGATTTTTAATGACTCCTCTGCAACTCAGTAAGTTAACGTGAAATATTCTCTCTTCATGAGCTAAGGTACATTTCAAAATGAATTCAAATCATACATCTGAATGTTCTCATTTAAAAGATACGATTACCCATTACAAGCAAATCGTAGCACTGAAATAAAGAAAAAAAAAAAACAAACGAAAGGAGAAAAACAGAACTAACGAGCAATGCGAGTCTCTAATGTGACGACTAATTCCATCTTAAGAAAATTATTTGCATTTACCATATGTTTTTAACGTGCTCGGTTGCGTTAATTATTGAGTATCATGATGTACACATATCTATAGATTAGATCTAAGTATACTTAAGCGATATTTGTGATTGCAAATTTTGAGCATCTTAAGCCATTCTCAATACATTGAAAACATACAGTTAGTTTTGCATACAAATGGATTGTTTCAGGCTCTAACCACCGAGAACGCTTAAGAACTCATTCATTTGTATTCTTCTGCCATATACCTTTTACAATTTAAATTCAATGGACCAAAGAAACAAGCGAGCTCAAACACACACACATACACACACTAACACACAACAAATATATTAGAAATGAAAGATTTTTGCGTTAGCATTCATCGAAGCTGGGAATCGAACTATATATACTTCAAATGGGCATCCAATGGACGATATTGTTTTCCTTTTTTCCAAATGAATTTGATATATCAATACTGTCACTTAAAAATTACACAGTCATTTTAATGAACTTAATTAATTCAATTACACGTAGTATGATTGCCTATGGGGGGCAATATAAAAGAAAACGGTTGGCAAATCAAATAAGGAACAAAAGGGTAAAATGTAAAGAAAACACTCCATTCCACTTGTATTTTCCTTAAAACTCTACGCTGCCTGCACACATGAACAAGAGGCCAAAGTGAAATAAAATATCAATTAAATCCAACCCTTTTTCCCGTGTTAGTTTATCATTCATTCGTTCTGTCACTCGTCGGCACATAATCACACACTTGCCAAATGCCACCACACTTTCTCACTGATGAAAATGAGACAAAACAAAAATTGAATACATTAAGTAAAAAGGTATACATAAAGAGAAAGAGACATTTTCTTTATTTAAAGATTAAACCACATCAAAAACGAATTGGCTTGATTGGCCCAGATCGAACCATCTCAATTTTGTTGAATCTACACTTCAAAAGGTTGCTGAAGTTAAACGAGTTTAAGAAGATATTTCTCATTTCTTTATTTAATGAACATTTAAAAAGCTGACTACCAAAAAGGCCTGAAATGTACAATTTATTATCGATTCAGATTTTACCTGAAACAAAAGTGATCCAAAAAAATATATACGTGAATTGATATGATTCATTATATACAGCGATAGTTAAGACGTATTAAAGTGTTAGGATTAATAAAGCAACATTTTCTGAATAAATTCGGTGAGAAACAAATAATAATCTAATGCAAAAATATCCATAGTGTACAAACTCTATTTGAGTTTATCAGTGAATCAATGCGTAAATTGAAAAATTTATTATTTCAATAAAAAGCGTTTGGAAAGTTCAAAAACACACAAGTATCGTTAAGGTGAGAAGAAGAGATAAATAGAGATAGAAGGAAAGAATGGAAAGCAAAGATCTACTTTTAAAATGATAAACGAAAGTGGAAAGGTGAAAAGTAGAAAATATGATTATGATTATATTTCTACTGATGATGACGATGTGATGTTGTATGTCTGGTATATTGGAGCGCGCGCTCAATTATATTGGCAACAAGAGAGCTCAGACATTGAACCCTTTTAAGTTAAAGAAAATCAGTTTAGTATCAAAACATTAAAATGTTTCTAACCAGAGATAGAGAGAGAGAGAGAGAGAGAGAGAGAGAGAGAGAGAGAGAGAGAGGGAGTATGAATTGAAACTCTGTGATACATACACTTTTTTCCTCTTCTATCTTTCATTCGATCTTGTTGGTCTTTTTTTAATATTCTCGTCAATGGTGCATCTCTCTTTCTCTGTTTATTTCACATAAAAGCGAAAATCATAAAAAGCATTTTTCTTTGGGTGCTCTTGCAACTTATAAAACGCAAAGTATATATCGAAGTGAGTGTAGTTAAGAAGAGTCTATTTGAATCGTTGCATGAGAGAAAAAGAGATAGAGACTCATCTTACTTTGACTTTTCTTACTTTGAATGTTCAATGAAACATCGGTTGAAAAGTACTATTGTGATCAAAAAGTACACATAATTGATTAAAAAAATTAAAAATCTTTATTTATTCTTCTAAATTCATTTCGTCGCCTTCGAAGTAATCCCCCTCGGCCGCAATGCACATACGCCAACGTTTTTTCCAGTCTTCGAAACAGTGTGAAAATCCACTTTCAGGTATGGCCTTCAATTCACGTGGCGATTCACGTTCAATCTCTTCAATCGACTCGAAACGATGTCCACGGAGCGGTTTTTTGAGTGTAGAAAAGAGCCAGAAGTCACACGGTGCCAAATCAGGCGAATATGGAGGTTGCGGAACGATATGAGTTGAATTTTTGGCGAAATAATCACGAATAATTAATGCAGTGTGAGCTGGTGCATTATCATGATGCAAAAACCAAGAGTTGTTTGCCCATAATTCCGGCCGCTTCTTTCGAATTGCTTCACGCAAACGACGCATAACATTCAAATAATATTCCTTGTTAACACTTTGGCCGGTTGGAAGAAATTCGGAATGCATCACACCACGATAATCGAAAAATACTGTCAACATAACCTTGATTTTTGACCGACTTTGACGAGATTTTTTTGGTTTGGCTTCACCTTTTCAAACGATATTCGGCGGACTAATCGGCTGTTTCTGGGTCGTATGCATAGATCCAAGTCTCATCTCCCGTAATGATCCGTTTTATGCACGATTGATAGTCAGAAAGCATTTCTTGACACACGACGCTCTTTTTCGATGAAATTCAATGTTTTTGGCACTAATCGAGATGCACAACGTCTGAGACCCAAATGATCTTTTAAAATGGTTGCGATCGACCCAAATGAAATGCCAGCAATATCAACAAGGTCTCTAATTGCCAATCGACGGTTTTTTTGCACAAGATCTTTTATTTCCTTGACGTGTTGTTGATTAGTTGATGTTGTTGGTTGTCCGGATCGAATTTCATCTTCTACACGTTCTCTGCCCTCTTTGAACTTCTTATGCCACTCATAAATAGTTGGTCTAGCCATGGATTGATCACTGAAGGCCTTTTCTAACATTTCACACGTTTTTATGGGCGAAATTTCGTTCCGCACACAAAATTTAATGCAAATTCTTTGCTCAACAAAATCTGTCATTATGAAAATCGCCAAAAGAAATTTTGTGTATGCACATCAACAAGTGTAACTCAACATGTGATGCAGATATTGACATGATATTTTGTATAGTTATAAATGACAGTGCTACCAACCCACAAAAAAAAATATTTACACGATTTCTTCATCCCGCGCATTTGAAATCATCAATTATGTGTACTTTTTTATCACAATAGTATGTCAAAAAATAAATTCGAAAAAAGCATGTCGGTGGTCAAAAATCGAGAAAAAGGAATTTTCAGCGATTTTTTCAAAATGCCACCTGGCGGCCAAATTTTTTTTTTTTTTTTTTGCGGATTCTTAATTTGGTGCCCGAGCACTACTAAAATATGCAAAAACCCCTTTCCAAAAGTCAGCGGTATCGATTTTCATTTCTTTAACGTATATATAGAGTGACGCAAAATATACAGTATGTCTCATTATATAAAGCCATCGATTTTTCATATTAAAACTAACAAGTTGTACAAAATTATTTTATATAATTTTTATTTGACTTCTAAGCTACGACGCACACAATCAATATTTAATCCAGTCACCGTCATGCTCGATCACACGGGCACATCTATTTGGCATACTTTTGTTCAAATTTTCAGCATATTCGCGTTGAAGACCTTTCCACTGTCGTTGAATGAATGAACTGAACTGCTTCAAATTGCGGTGTGTTTTACCACGAAGCCTTGCCTTAAAAATGGCCCAAACATTTTCGATCTGATTGCAATCGGGTGATTGTGGTG